AACCCCTTCCCGCATACCGATCCTAAAGACTCGTGTAGCTTTAGTCTGCCCTGATACAACGCCTGCATTGCCACAGTCTAGTACTGAAACGGCACAGGCAATACCAGAAGGACAGAATTCTACACCTGCATCAACTGTAGGCCAGTGTGTGAAACACATCAAGCCTAAAAGGAAACGTTCAAGACGTCATAAGACCTCGAAGGCGTCATCAAGGAAAGGGGATGAATGCCAGGCGTGCAACATCACAGTTTCTAAAACTGATTCAGCGTTTGAATGTAATTTTTGCAAACGATGGGTGCACTGCCGTTGTGACAAAGAAGTACCGAAAGCATACTATGAGTTTATGAGAAATAACCCATGCCCATGGTTTTGGTACGTGTGTCCACTTTGTCGCCCTGGCATAGTCCCACAAAGCGTGTCTGCGGATAGCAGAAATAACATGCTCTTGTGCCCCAACACAGTATCATGCAGCTCCCCCCTGCTAAACTCGCACTGCCGAAACTGGTCAAAGACTTAAAGAAGGACACACCAGCCCTACTGACTGGAAATGCCAATTCTCACAAGGTGAAGATTAGCAAGGTTCCATCCACATCAGGGGAGGGCAAAATTACAAAGGCACCACTTGCATCCACTAGCAAGCCTGGCAACACAAAAAAGGCTGTCCAGGTACCGACGAAGCCTAATGTTGCTAATGATGCAAAGGACTGCAAGAAGCCGAAGGCAAAACCTAAGTCTGAGGGTAGTCGGTCTAACTCTCTCATCCTCTTTAACGTACCTGTGAGCACGGATAGCTTGCTCGAACAACGGGCCCTGTTTGATCAGGAACAGTGGTCCAACCTGTGTGGCAAACTAGGTCTGAACATTAGTTCAGCAAAACTGTGCAGACTGTACAGGGGTGTCCACACGCCTCAGGGTAAGCCACCCCCATTACGGGTTACACTGGACTCTGCCGAAGAGGCCGAAAAAGTACTGTTAATGGCTCAGGTACTAGCCCTGGACAGAAGTTCTAACATAAGAGCGCGGCAAGATAGACCATGGGCCGTCAGAAATATGGCGAGGGAGTCACCGGAACTGATGCCTTCCACCTCTATGGTGGTACACGGTGTTCCGGAGCTGGAAACCGGCACTGCTTGTGAAAAACACATGCACGACGTACAACAATGGAGATGGCTGTCATCTCAGATGGCCCCTGGCGCTTCTGGAGCCATCTCCATTTTCCGACTACCTCGTCCCGCTCATCTAACATTGATTAACTCTCCAAAGCTGCTGTGTGTCACATTCAACTCCCCGGAGCAGTTGTCCATATCACTTCAACGGTGGTATGAGACCAAGGGAAAAATTGGAGGACACATCCGATGCTGTGAAAGCAGACCCAGAAATATAAGGAGGCAGCAAACTGAGGCTTTAATACGACCCCAAGCTTCGGTGACACTAGAGCGATGCAGCTCTGAGAATAATAGTCTGTGTCTCCCAAGTGTCCTGCCTAAATCCATTGAAAAAAACTACAACGGGCCGGTTCTATCGGAATCGGCCAACTAGTTCCAACATCAAGTCCCCCACCAGCAGACGGTTTCACGTCAACTACCCCACAACACTCTGAGGTTGTTAGACTCACTGTCAGTTGCCTATATAGCAATGTGAGGGGGCTGAGAGGGAAAGTAGGTGAACTTCGAAATCTCCAAGCACACCTTCAACTGAAAATAATCATTCTTACTGAAACGTGGCTAAACCCCACTATCGCCGACAATGAAATCAGTATAGGTGATATGGTACTGGTCAGGAGAGACAGGGATAATAAGGAAGGAGGGGGAGTTGCTATATACTTTGATAGGCAACTTAAATGTGTGCGCGCAACGGACCCACCACTTATCGAACTCCCAGACTCCATATGGTGTCATTTCACCGTAGGCCACACCAAGCACTTACTGGGTGGCATCTACCGATCTCCCACCTGTGGGGCAGAGCACAATCAGCTACTGCTCAGCACTATCACAGGAATACGAGATTTGGGCTACGACCAAATCACCATAGCTGGAGATTTCAATGCTCCATCACTGAACCTTGGCTCCGGGTGTGCTAAGGGAAAATTTGGCCGAAACCTACTGCAAACTATTCGAAACACGGGACTGACTGAGAATGTTGGAGACGACACTAGGTGGGGCCCTAGTGGAAAGTCATCAAAACTAGATTATATTCTAACTAGTGACCAGCTACTCGTCGAAAAGGTCCAGATCATGACTCCTCTGGGAAGCAGTGACCATGCAGTCATAGGTTTCGATCTTGTCCTCCGTGAGCGTTTGCAATGGGATGTTACGCGACCATGTCTGTGCTACAGCAAGGCTGACTATGCTGAAATGCGGAGGCTCTTGTCCGACGCAGACTGGCCCTTAGCATGGGACGACCTATCTGTGGATGAACACTGGGAAGTGGTAAAAAAGATTATCCATGCAGCAATCTCGGATACCGTCCCTTTAGTCACAACACAGCCTAAGAGAAAGACGTCATGGTTGAAGAGAGGCACGCAACGTATTCTGCAAGCAAAGCGGAGGGCTTGGTTTACGTGGCGTGTATCTAAGAGTCAGACCGACCATGATGCATACCTCGAACTCAGGAACCGGTGTAATGCAAGAGTTAGGAGGGACAGAAGGTCATTCCAGGCTAACCTTGCTAAAAAACTCCTATCAAACCCTAAAAACTTGTACCGATTCATGTCGGAAAGAAAACCGACAAACCAAGGGGCATGCGCCTTAGTAGGCCCAAACGGTCAATATCTCACTAGTCTGGAGATGGCTGAAACATTCAGTTCAGCCTTCGCTAAACAGCTAAACAGCAATGTGGATATTACAGTTACGGACCAAAATGGTGGCACCACTATTTCAGAGGAGGAAGACCTAGCGACTACTCCCCAAATAAACCCCGCAATAGTACTAAGGAAGCTACAGCGACTCATACCTGGGAAGTCCCCAGGTTGTGATGACATCAGGCCATCTGTTCTGAAACAGTGCGCCGAGGCTCTCTGTAGACCCCTGTGCGACTTGTTCCAACACTCAATGGATTCGGGGACCCTGCCAAGGGAGTGGAAAAGAGCCATCCTTTCTCCAATCTTCAAGGGTGGGGACAGGCAAAACGCTGCTAGCTATAGACCAGTAGCTCTACTCCCAGTGGTATCAAAAGTACTGGAAAGTATTATTGACGACCACATCAGGGAATATTTCGATAGGACTAATATACTGCATGAAGCCCAACATGGTTTCAGAAAAGGCAGATCCTGCGTCACTAACCTACTGTCAGCTTGGGACGACTGGACATCATGCTGGGACTTGAACGTACCAGTCCATGTGGTCTTCCTAGACTTTGAGAAGGCATTTGACACTGTTCACCATGACCTTCTCCTACATAAAATAAGCCAGGCAGGCATAGGTGAGCCACTTCTGTCATGGTTGAAGGACTACCTAGCCGACAGGCAATTTTGCACTAAGGTTAACCGAGTCCGATCATCTTGGCACAGATCGTCATCAGGAGTGTCGCAGGGTTCTATCCTAGGACCACTGATGTTTTTGATTTTCATCAATGATCTACCACGCCGTCTGAGCTGCCCGACTCTCCTGTACGCTGACGACGTAAAAATATGGAGGGCGATAAAGTGTCCGGAGGACTCAGATAGGCTACAGGAAGACCTAAACCTTCTGGAAGACTGGGCGGTGGCCAGTGGCATGACTTTCAACTTGAAAAAGTGCAAAGTAGTGAAGTTGCGCACCTGTAGACTGCAGAATGCAAGTTACACCCTGTGCAATGAAAGCTTGTCCTGCACAACGTCGGAACGCGACTTAGGTCTAGTTCTAACGGAAAAAATGGACACAAGCGTAAATTACACAGGGGATGTAGCGAGGGCATATGCGGTCATACACTTTACGCATAGACAGTTAGGTGCACTCACTCCTGAGCTCTTTCTAATGTTGTACAAAACATACGTCAGGCCACACCTTGAGGTGCATAATATTATTGCACCCCCAATGCTGAGAAGAGATGCCAACCTCTTGGAGAGAGTCCAACGACGGGCAACAAAAGGAGTGGTTGGTCTCCGAAACAAACCATATGATGAAAGGCTGAAGAAATTAGGCCTGTTCACACTTAGTTACCGTCGGCTTAGAGGGGATTTGATTACTGCCTACAAAATAACAAATGACCAGAATCACCCAAACAAAGGTGTTCTGCCATTGAGTAGGTATAGGCTTCCACGTGGAAATCCCAGAAGGATAGCTCACCAGAGGGCAAGGACCCGGGTGCGCTCCCACTTCTTTTCACTGCGGGTTTGTCGTCCCTGGAATTCCTTACCGGCAGATGTAGCTATGGCACCGTCTTTGGACGCCTTTAAGCGAAGGCTGGACAACCATGCAGCTATACAAGGACTGCATCCAAATGGCCTATCTCCTTAAAATCGCATTTACCAATCAGGGTAGATAATTAAACTCGTCATTTTACTTCTTTACATTCTCTCCCGTCTTACTCTCCTGACAACTTATTAATATTATAATTACTATTATTTTTTTTTTTATTACCGATATATATATTATTCTTCAAACTTCATGAGCTGACTGTTGTTACGTTTCCTATTTTCGTTTCTGTCTCTTAGTCTGAATAGCTTCACTAATTATATCTACTATTATTATTATTATTACTATCTCTTTTCTCTTGTCGACAATACCGAAGGACTAACTGGCGAAAGGATCAACTCCAATCACAGTAGTAACAGTCTTAACATACCTCATACTACAAACCACATATAATTAATCCCAGCACTACTCCCTTTGGAGTCAACCAAAGCTACGACAGTCGAGTGGCGGGACAAGCTACGCAGAAGTTTACCGAAGATCAAGAACCTATACCTCACAATCAAGAGGCGAGCACAAAGAAATCAAATTGGTTTATACTAGCTCGTAAAAACGATATTGGATATTGGATATTGGAACCCGTCGCATAGCAACCACAAGTGCTTATAAAATATGAGTGTTGTTTACATAGGCGTTGGTCAATGTGGTGTACAGCTTACGAGCACTTTTTTGTCCCAAAATATAAAAAATAAGACGTAAGGTCTATTCAAAAATCTTCCGAATTGGAATTTTACACTCACCTTTCACCTGTGAATGGCTACAGACAAATGCACAAGTGTTCCTAGATTTAACGAGGTTGATTGAGAAGTGTCACTCATACCAAGCATACAAGGAGTTTTACATTGTAAATTAAAACTCTTATTTCTAAGGATGGCACTAATTAGCTAACCATGCATCCAAGCTTACAACAGTTCTGAACTATTCTAGCCTATGTGTCGATAATGACTTTTTATGGTAAATGAGTAATTTACCTACCTAAAGGGAACCCACTATATACTAAAATAGCGCTGCTCGATATTATGAAGATCACTGTAAGCTTAATTGGTGCGACGATTATCATCCATTTCGGTACTCCATAATTTCTGTGTCATCTTTGCGTTAAAAGTGCTACAAACAGTTTCGATTAAGGCTGAAGTCTTTCGAAAGACTATCATCATGCGAAACTTTATTTGAATATAAGAGAAATAAACATTCCAGTTTTTTGACTCTACAAACATTTATATATACATATATACTGACTAAAGTAATACGAGAAAATGGAGCGATGCCTTAGGACTCTAAACAAGTAACTTACTCTATGTTTACTTAAATACGGAAAATCATTCATATAATATTGCCGTGATGCTTGTGCATTTTATCTCCAGAAAGCCTGTAAGTTTTAGACACAGGTATCCCTATGAACCACGCTGAATTGTTGATATTCGAAATCTCGTGCGATTTATGAGAAAAAAGCAGGAAGTTGGAAAACAAGCGGTAATCAGGAGAAACATATGATATCAATGGGAAAAGTGTGGAAATCATGCATAAAAAGAGCGATCGTATTGCGAAATTATGCTTATTCCGGGAAAAAGACCCATTTAGTTGCAAATTCTGCTTCATTCCACCTTTTCATCTGAATCATAGTCTCATTGACCCCTTTTTAGCCGACCAGGCAGCCCAGAATAAAAAGGTATAATTTGGTGTGTTTGTTTGCAAAACCCATGGTGTTAGTGCATGGTTGTGGTCATAATTATGACCATAATCATATTTTATAAAATATGATTATTACGAACTGAAGAGATTCTTATGGCTTTATATCACCATTGTCAGAACTTACTTTCGGTCTAATTAGAGAGTTTGTATTTTTAATATTCAGATTTAAAATGAGGGCATTTGGAACACTAGAAATTGGTAAAGGGTTGCTGACATACAGCAGAAAATACTGGACCCAGGTTTCATACTTGGCATTTACCAGCAATACATATCTGCAGCTTTGAATGATGTGATGTCCCCACTGGACTAAAACGTGCTACATCCATTGCGGCAGTCATATTCCTTATCACTGAGCTATTTATCCATGTGATTGGCGCGAGCTCGAATACCTAAGAGAACATCACTTCCTCCGAATTTACGAATCCATCTAACTGATGTGTATCAGTAATTGCGAAACAAGGCCTGGGGCTTCCTAATGATTGCCTCTAGTCATTTCGAGGTGCATCACAATGGCGATGATGACGTTATTCTGCCCATTTAAACTTGTTTTTCTAGGATGTTCTGTTTGGAAGAAAACAACATGCGCAACGTGTCTTAAAAATTATCGTTGAGTATGGAAGGGGTAAAAAGGTGTCACAAAATCAAGGTAACAGATAAATCATAAGGTCACTTGATACAGTCACAATGTTAACCTGTAAAAGTAAACAAAAAGCTAACATGGGTTAACGTTTAACTGCGTACAAGACCAAATGTTAGTGTGGAGACGCCCATGACGACCTAATGGAGAAGGAATATGTCTCTCCCTTCACTTTGTTGTTTCTTAAAAATGCATCAAAACTCTATTACCTCTTGATACTACATGCTGTTTTTTATTTCTAATCCTGCGTTGTTCCCTAACTTAGAAGAATTAGTGATGTCTTGACATCCGTACAAATGTTTTGTGGTTTCAGTAATAGTCATTCACATCTATCGCTAGTAACTTGTTAACCTCATGGGCATGCACTTAACAGAGGCATTATCACCCGAAATTTATCGTGTAAATATAGACACTAGTTGCTTGCCATGAAAAAGTCACCACGAAGTCATAGACTCTGACCTAATTTTTGTGTGTTATAAAGCATAATGACTGAACAAGTAAACTGCGTTCAGATGTGTTGATTATTACCGTTGCTCGTTAAAATATTGTAAGCTCGGTAAAAATAAACCGGAATATAAAGTTTTTCACTTCTGAAATATCAGATATTACATCGGAGTTTATTCATGAATTGCTGTGAGAATTTATTTTAAGGAGTTTATTAGGTCGTTTAAAGTAGAAGAAAAACGTTTGGTTTCAGCAGGAGTGAATATGATTGCTGGTCACAAAATTTAAGTTTGCATTTCATCTATGGCACAAAGTTTTAAATAGCACACTTTGAAGTTACCATAGTTAAAACTAAGATTCTGCTGTGTCAAATTAACCTTAATGATTTCATATAAACTTGAAAATCCATCTTAGTAATGTTTACACTTATTTACTTCTGCTTACAGAGACTCATTTTTATTGGATGAAGTTGGTCAGTTCAAAGGTATTCTTGTTGATTCAGAATCTAAAACATATTATCATACTGCCAATAAGCTTAATCTACAGCATGTTTTCTACTTACATTCAGTATATTAGTGATAACTTGTGATTTTTAGTCAGTACTTTCGCAAATACAATGTGATTCTTGGTCGTAGAGGACGTGGTTCAAACTGGGCTCATGGTAGTGTATTTCTCATACCTAGAAAAATTTATTCGATTACAAGGTTACTATGATGATACAAAAGATGACTGTTTACTTGAAGAAAGTGTGGAGTCCGTCAGAAGACAAATTGAGAGGTTAGCAACATACTTTAAGTGTCCTCAAAATTTTATTGATCAGAAGACACTAGGTTAGAATTCTTTGATGCTATGCCTGATTTTCATTCTTTAAGTAGACATTTTTTACAAAACAATCTTTTACAAAATTTAGACTTTAGAAAGTCCGTTTTAGTGTTGAAACCCCAGTATATAAACACTTCAAACAAAGTATGACCAATAGAAATAGACACAGCTTCCCAGAACTCTCACTCTTGGTTTAGCTTTGCACTACAATAAATAGTGTTGACTCATATGAACTTTAGGATCTGAGCATAATAGTTTATCCAAATATCCAGTCAGAATCCTGGTACTTTGAACTGATATGCTTTTCTGAACTAAATCAATCCCAGAATACTGCTGACAGACTAGCCACTGAACGAGTGAAGTAATTGGGAAAATCAGGCCTTACTGGTGACCGTTAGTGGTTCATAAGAGAGATTTTCAGCCTTTCGTATTAATCAGTAATATGTACGGCATTGCGTTTTTTCTCGATTCATTCAAATCATCCTATGTTTTGGGTCTTTTGGATTTTCAGAGGAAACCTGAGTCGAAATTTATTTAAGCTGTACACTTTACATATAACTAATTGTACCCGCCTTGAATTTGTCATAAAAAATATTCTCGGGTAAACCGAATTTTTGCTTGAATTGCCTTACTAGTAACCGAATATATTTTGGTGTCACTTGATCTATCACATCTTCATATGACTTTATTTCTTTTTGTATGATGCCTCTTTTGACGTTGGATTGATTCCAGTTCGCATTGTATGAAAAATCTGTGAGAGGAAATAGGATTTTATTCGTTAACTAAGGTCAAAATATCTTTGTCAGAGGCAGACACCACTGACAGAAATACCAGATAGCTTTTCGCTCCATCGTTATACTACCTAAAGATAATCGATGGATTTATATTCATAAATTAATTTCACAGAGATTTGACTGATTTCATAGCACAGCATTGCAGACTGATAGACGTGATAAACCATGGCAAAGTGTAACGTACTCGCCTCATCACGCAAGATCTTAGGTTCTGTTCCTAATAAAGTGATAATTACACGTGTCAGTAGAAATTCGCAAGCCGTAGATACAAATCTGTCTGGTCCTTCCCAACTTTTAATTACCTTTCAGCTCACGTAAACTGATTGTAAAACCCACCTGAAGAACAAGCTTTTAGATGTGCTCATACTTCACTAGACTTTGGGCTTCCTATAACAAAGTCTCTAATTCCAACAACAAAATAGTGGAAAGACACCGATTGTCATTTAGTTTTACAGATGTTGAATAAGATTGTAATAAGACAGAGTTGAACCTTTAGGGTGAAGCTTAAATCTCTCAAAACAAGTGGTGACAGGTTACAATTCAGGTTCAACACTCAGAAACTGAAGGACAAAACTACAAATGATGTCTTCGCCACAGACCAGATCAGAGCGAAGTCAGAGACACACTGCGTATTATCACCGACAAAACCTCCGTGGGAGAACATTGGAACTAACTCTCTGGAGATGATGTTCATGAAAACGTGTACAACTGTCCTAGGAAGAAAGAACAGACATGACAAGGAATGGCTCTCAACGGACACCTACCTGGAAGCTAATCGATGAGAGTAGGATGGTGAAAGAGATGACTCAATGCAAAGATGGATAACAGGAGAAGGAGAAGCTGAGTCCACAGCTGTCTGTATACACTGGACTGAATCAAGAAAGACGTGAAGAGGAGTGCTAGGGAAGACAATTCTACGACACACTGGCCGGAAACTGAAGCAGAACAAGCAGACTGCAGGTAAAAGAGACCTCAGGACATCATATCAGATAAGCAGGTCTCTATCCAAGAAGAGATGAACTCAGATGATGAAGTCAATAAGCGATGTTCAAGGGAAGCTGATTACCAAGGAGAAGAAAGAAGCACTGGAGACGGTCCCAGGGACTGTGGCAGATGTTCTCACACCATTATTGCAAAAGGTTTGGAAGGAAGGAATGGCGCCTACCGATTGGAAGAAAGGCTAACTTGTCAAGCTACAAAAGAAGGAGGACTTAGGCCTGTGCAAGAGCTGGATCGGAGTAATGCTCTTTTCCACCCCAAGTAAAATACTAAGTCGCAACATCCTGGAGAGAACAAAAGATGCAATAGATACAGAACTCCGCCCACCACACTGAACAAGCTGGCTGCATTCAGGAAGGGCAAATCATGTTCTAATCAAATTGCTGCTTTAGTCATTGTCATCACAGCACTAAGCATAGAATATCAGTCAAACATCTACCTCAGTTTCATCGACTTCGAAAAGTCCTTCGACAGACAGCGTTGACCGAGACGTATTTTCGAAAATACTTGAACACTACGGCGTGCAGTGTCAAAGTCTTTACCAACCTCATTCAACAGCTGGCTATATGACAATGCCACGTGTCAGGTGATCCACAACGGGAATCTCAGTGAGGCGTTCGAAGCGAATACAGGAATAAGACAAGCTGACTGCCTATTATAACCAAAGATGCTATTCTGAATTGTTGTGGACTGTATTATGCGTCAGACTGTGCGTTGAGAGTGAGAAGACAGGATTACGCTGGACCACCGATGAGAAGACTCTAGGAGATTTGGATTTATCAGACAATATATGTATAATACCACACAAAGTCGAAGGCTTAGAGGTAGGCGAAAAGCAGGAAACTGGCAGGAGAAGTAAGCAGTGAAGACAGGACTCCAGGTGGACATAGAGAAGATGGGGGTAATGAAGGCAACCAGCTAACAAGAACAAAAACCACCAGTCACCATCAAATAGAGAGATTTAGCAGGGGTTACTTCCTTCACTTATCTAGGAAGCACCGTTTCAACCACGGGGACACGGAACGAATGAAGATGTCAAAGTCGGTCAGAATCGGTATGGCGAGGTACGCCTTCATCAACCTGAAACCAGTCTGGAGATCTTCTGCACTAAATTGGCATAAAGGACAAGATTCGGATTTTCATCACCAATGTCAAGTCGGTCATTCTATACGCGTCAGAAACTTGCACTGCGTGTCCCGAAGAGGATTTCCAACAAGCCACCACAGACTTTTATCAACAGCTGCCTTCGCTGACTCCATACTGAAGATCAAATGGCCAACCAGAAAGAATTAGTAACAAGAAACTCTGGCTGGGAACAAACCGACCAAGAGCCGATCGCTCAACAAATGTGTCAGAGAAAATGGAGGTGGGCGGAACATAAGTTGAGGAGACCGTCGAATGACATCACGCGCCAGTCCATAACTCGAGAGGAATCGAAATGGGGAGCAACGAATGGGTTGTCGGCGCGAGGGTGACATGTAGTAGATCATGTGAAGAGGAGATGAGAGATTGTGGGTAATCGTGGACCCGGGTGAAGAGGACAGAAGAAAATAGAAGAAAGTGGAGATGTGTTGTTGAAGGTCTATGTTCCACTCAGAATTCAAGGGAATAATAATAATATATAATAAGACGGAGTCACAGCTAGAGTAAGTATGTTTATTCTCTGGTTTCTTTGCCTCATATGGACACACACACACGCACACACAAAGTGAATCACATGAAATAGAAACACATTTTAGGGGAACGAAGTTAATGCTGAGTGGCAATTGAGATCGGTAAGTTCAACGGTTATCCAAATTTATGTATATCTGGTAAATTTTGTGTTTATTCTTATCCTGAGTAGAAGCTTGTGTTTCATAAACTACATGCCAATCGATTGTTATTGCTTTTAGGATCGATATTTCTCCTGGGATTTGTCTCGTTCACAGTTTGGCTGGTGGAACAGGTTCAGGGTTTGGATTACGCTTACTTGAAGAAGCACAAGATAACTTAGGCGTCCGTCTATGTTTAACTTTTAGTGTTATGCCATACTGCTATGGGGAGTCTCCACTTCAAGCATACAACATTTTGCTGTCTTTGGCTGGGTTGACGCGGTATGCCATATACAACATGTCTTCTTTTATTTGAGATAATGCGTGAGAATTTCTTTTTTGTTGATTGATCAATAATCCAGTTTAGTATATAGCATAATGTGTATACTTCTTTGTATGATATTGTTAAGTCTACTAAGCCTTAATGATTTTCGCCTGGTTAACTTTTGTAATAATGATAATAATAGCAGTTATTATTATTATTTTTATCATTAGTGCGTCGGTGGCATAGTGGTTAAGACTCATTGTCCGGGGTTCGATCCCCGGCCAACGCACTCCTTTACCTCTCTAAGCCAGAAGTAATGATGGTAAAGAGGAGAGGTTGGGCATAAGGCTAGCAACCCCATTCTGTAAAATTAAACACTACTACATAAACTTCAAGTCACTAACTTGAAGCCCTATATTCCACTGGGAACGTGAAGGAAAAATTATTATTATTATTTATTATATTTATCATCATTATCGGTATTATTATTGTTTCCGCGAGTTCCGAGTGAAGCACAGCGCTTCAGTTGCACATTCTCATTTTACAAGGTCCACTGCCGTGACCTTTAACTGGCTGTACGTCTACACACAAGCTTTCATTTGTTCTTCACATGACGTCAATGGCACCCTCGTACGTCCAACTCATCACTTCTCATTCTAGTTCCACTTGGTGGGCTGCCAGGTGTATTTCGTCACATCGATCTCTTTAGTGTATGTTCAGTTCATCTACATTTCCTTCTTTATATTTGTCATACAACACTTTCTTGGCTGGTTCACCACACTGTCAGAGTTCGTTGTTGCTTATACTTTCTGGTCGGCAATCTTATCTTCAGTATCTAGCGTACTCAGGTAACTGTTGATAAAAGTCTGTAATAGCCTGTTGGAAATGCATTAGGTGACGTCGCTGCCAGTCTTGGAGTATACGGAAGCACTGACTCGCTATTACTCTTCAATATTCTGATCCTTTCCCATCGGTTGAGTGCTGTAAATCTTAGGAAAAAACAAGAAGATAGTTGCGGTGAAGAAAATTTCCTTGACGAAGTTATCAACTAGGCCGTAAATTTGGGAATATATTATAAAGGCGTGAGATGATGGCAGAATTATTTCCGGTAAAAGGTTGGATTAAAGCGGATAGCAAGATAAAAAGTATGTGACGCAATTACGGTTTAGAAATATAATAATAAGAAAAATAAGCAGGACGTTGGAAAAAAACATGGTCAGATAATAATTACTGAGAACAGAAAAGACTGTGTGATAAGACAGGAACTGTTCAAGTTTCTACGATTGTCCCTCAAACCTCCTGAAAGGCAAGCGAAAATTTACTTCTAGAAGAATGCCCTAAAAAACCATGAATATCCTAAGGCATTCTGGGAGGATTTCAGACTAGATCATATATCTCCCAAACTCAAGTACACAGTCTAAATAGCATTGGTGTCGTCATCTCTAGATTTTCTAAACTCGAACAGAATAGTTGAAGAAATTCTCACGTTCTTTATGAATTATCCTTTGATTTCAAGTTTCATAAATGTTACATGTCACCAGCAAAGAGGGGCAGCATGAATTGTTTTATATTTTAGACACTTAGAGAACTATGTGATAGCCCCCTGCCTCCAGTCATTTTGGATTTTTTCCTCCGGAATAAAGGTGCAAGTGAGTGAGATTTAATAAATCTATTAGGTGTTTGAATTTCCACTTATTTTAATGAGAAAATACTGTTGAGTGCATCTGAGAGTACCATGAAAGTTTTGACTATCTAAATTTTAAAGTGAATAAAATCTGCGTGATAGTGATTAGAATCGTGGAACCAAACTACCAATCTGTCTTGACTCATGTAGCTGATAACTTTCATGACTTTAATACTCTCGATGTTCTAAAATGTCTTAAAACGCTTAAGCCCTCACGTAGCCTTGGCCCTGATGGTATACCTGCATATGTTCTAAAACAATGTGCAGATGCTTTATGTTCTCCACTAACTAACATCCTAAATGCTTCTTCCTCCCAAAACGTTGTACCTGTTCCATGGAAAGACATTGAAATAGTCCCTGTCCCTAAACCTGGAAATAGCAACAACGTAAAGATCAGACCCATTGCCATCACTTCCCCGTTTCTAACGCTTATGGAAAAACTAGTACTTCTTAAACTCGAACCCTCCCTTAAAAGCTTTGAAGACCCCAAACAATTTGCCTACAGACAGGGTAGGAGCACTTTAGACGCTGCAGCCGTCTTACACAACATTATCGTCTCATTATTAGATAAAGGTGCCAAATACGTCCGCTGCACGTTTCTCGACTTCACTTCTGCTTTCGACTCTGAGTCCTGGGTCACTAACTAGTTGCATTCCTACTTCTCTAACAGAATGCAGTATACCGTATACAAAGGCGAATCCTCCTCTAATGTGCTCACAGAAGCTGGTGTCCTCCAAGGTGCTGTACTTTACCCACTTCTCTTTTCTTTCTTTCTACATGACCTATCATCTTCAAATGACATTAATTTTGTCAAATATGCTGATGACGTGACTGTATCTTTGCCTGTCAAATGTCAAAGTGACTGCACTAAAGTAAACGGCTTTTTATGAGATGTCAGCCAATGGTCCAAGGAAAACGGTCTCACCTTAAACCCCTCCAAATGCCAGACAGTTAATTTCACCTTTAGGCACAAACTTGACCTAAACAAACTGGTTAGAACTCACGAGGTGTGCAACATAGATGGAAATGAAATAGAAACCAAGTCTGAAATTAAATACCTAGGCGTCATTCTACCTGCTGATCTTTCCTGGTCGTCTCATATCTTGATGATTTCTAGGAGAATATTCCGTCTTACTCTCTACGTCAAGAAGTTAAAATATTCTGGTATAACCCAACCCTTACTCCTACAATTCGTTAACTCCCGTATTCTGCTTATTATTCACTGGTGTTGCCTCTTAGTTTTTCATGGGCTACTGAAGAAAGACTATACCTTATTACGCAGGATGTTAAAGGTTGTCAGCAGGGTAAGCTACGTGCCACTTAACCAGCTTGTTAATATTCTGGTTGACAGGCACATGGACTCATGTGAAAAATAGGCTAAATCTATTTTATCTAACTCACACCACCCTCTTCATTCAAAACTCTGCCCTTGTATCTCATCAGGCAGAACCGGAAGCCTATATAGAAAACTATATGCTCGCACTAGCAAGTACGAAAACTCAACCATACCCTACTTAGCTCGTGTTCTGTGCGATAAAGAAAGGATTAGGCGTGATACCTATAACTTATTAAATAGTCAGTAGAACAACTGGATCTCATCTTTCCAACTCATATCATTTATAGATACAACGTTTTCTTTCTTTGTTTTCCTTTTCTCTCTCTTTTTTTGTTATGTGCAGCTTTATTTATTTCTTCTGCTTACGCCAGTAAATATGCTAGCATCTACTTTTCTAACACCTTCAAACACTCCGTTCAATTTCGGCTGTGCTACTGACATGCCAATATGTTATCATAATGAACTGAGATTTCCTTAATCTATGTAGAATTTTATTTTATTGATAATGTACTAACTGGATGCAATACTGTAGTAAAATGCTGAGAATTCCATTCTGCATCACAAGTACTGTTTTGGAATAAAGCAAATTATTATTATTCTGCATACATTTAGTTTCACTACGTAATTCTTCAACCTGTACAATATCTAACACGTCTTTATTCAATAGGAGTAATACGTCTTTCAGATCTAAATCCAGAATAAGTAGGCATATTTCTCGAACGACCGGTTCTGATGTGAGAGGTTGTGTTACCAGTTTGTTTAAGAATGATAAACCTCCAGAGTAGTACTGAAAACAGGTGGTTGCATCATTCAATTTTGAACATCAAAGCACTGTTCACTTTTGACAATCTTTTCTGTGCAGTTCAGCGTCTTCAAGATCTGTATTCAGCCCACTGAAGTCGAAAAAAACAGTTAGCATTTTCCTATTGCATCATGTCATTTAATCTTCAGATACTACTTGCTGCTGGGTTAAAATAACTTCAGAGACACCAATTAGTTTGGAAGAGTTCTCACACTGGAAGTGATGATTTCCTCCAAGTTCCTATCATGAGGTCTGATCTACTGGATCAGGAAGTAAGAGGTATGAAAGGATATTTGTGATAATAAGAAAGGGTTACGGTATTTCTCAAGATGGATGGAACTAAAAAATGCTCACTTGTCGTGTCCACTGGAGGAACTGAAAGACAACATGCATATACTGATAGGATGGAAACTGCACACTTCTGAGGATCTCAGAAATATACCGGAGGAACTATCAACTTTGAAGGGTTTTTCATTCATTCTAAACTGATGGAAAAACTCCATTCACCGGTATTATTTTTTGTTTTTTCTTGTTGATCGATAGCATAGCAGACGGTATTGTTCTGTTGTACAACGATTGGTTGCTTGCTCAAGTACAGCTGAATTCGACCAGTGAAAACAAAACGAAAACAACAACACGTGTTTTAGAAAACGTTACTGGTATTAATAATTTGGCGGCCGAACAAATGACTAATTTACTTGCACCGTGTAGTTCAATGGATTCATCAGAATCACACGAAGAAGATAAGAACAATGATGCTTACTATCTAGAACCATGGGCTATTTGTCAGACACTGACTCCGTTATGTGATGTAAAGTTTGTAAGGTGTATATCAAGCGATGATAGAAAGCATATTACACAGTAAGAATTTAAATTCACTTATGGTTATATATTCAAACATATGTATATATACACTGCCAAGGGAAATTTCCATAAAAAAATATCACAGATCTATGAAATTTGCTTCCTTTTGAAGTGTCACTAAATTCAAGACATAGATTTACATAGAAATCATTGTATAGCCAAAGTGTGCGTCAGACTAATTTGATTCGATGACGCAAATCTTATGTACTTTGGAGTTACGAAAGATGTGGTTGTCTGCTTTACCAATTAGACAGACATAAATGGATGAATGAATGCTGTCGTCTCTTGTTGATTACCTATTATCTTGTTTGGGGAAGATTCAGTGGGATTGATAAAAAGTCCGATTTTCCATTATGGATAAAATTTATTCTGATAAAGTCACACGGTAATATTTACTGATGACTTTTCAAACACAATTTATCCCTCATAATCATAATCAAGTCCGATTTTGTCTCATTCTGTCAACAATAACGACTGAATGAATGTGCTAAAATCTTTCAAGTTTGCCTTCGGTACTCGTCTTCCACACGTAGCCTAAAGTTATTGGGGTTTAGTCAAATAACTCTGGTTGGCATTTGTTAAATAAATCTGCTTCCCCTTTTTCGTATCACTGCCACGATTAAATTAATAACTGAACCTGGAAATTAAACCATATTGACTTAAACCTTGATTATCTGTCTATTTCATCTTTTGAAATTACACAACTTCTGATTTTATGAGATGCTGAAATATTCATATCATCTGGATACATTCATTATTCTTATGATTTCTTGTTTTAATTGCTACTACCAATGATATTACTAATATTTTCATTAATATTCCTATCCTTGCTTTACCTATTGGTTGCATCTCTGTATGTGTTTAGAGCTATTCACACTTGAAAGAAATAGGAGAAGGATGTTATTGAAGACAATATTGTTCGTCTATTTTTTTTAAATTTAAAAAATGGGATTTTTTTAATATTCTAATCTCTCTGGTCAATCTTCTTTGATTATTTTGTATGGCCGTTAGTTAATGTCGCTTTAAAAATCAACCAGTCATTTACATCTGTTCACAGCAAACAATCACTTAGAAAGAAGAATCAGTTTCAGTAATCCATGCATTTATGGTGATGAAATGTAGGTTGATTAGATTGGGAAGAAAAAGCCAATCTTATTTACTAATCTTTCCTCAGAAGGCTGATTTCAGACCTACCTCCATTTATTTGCATCACAAACTTTCATCAGTGATGGTAAGGGGCCAAGTACGTCCGTTGTACGTTCCTTCATTACACATCTGCTTTCGACTCTGTACCTAGAGGCCTTTTGTTAAACAAGCTTAGCCTTACACAAACTGAGTTCTGGGCTATCAACTGGCTGCACTCTTAATTCTCTAATAGAATGCAGTGCACGGTATATAATGGTGTAGCTTCCTCTCCTTTGCTTACTGAAGATGGAGTTCCTCAGGGCGCTGTTCTCTCTCCGTTTCTCTTTTCCTTCTTCTTAAATGGCTTACTTCTTTCAGACGAAATCAACTTCGTCAGATATGCAGATGACCTGACTGTTTCGCTTCCCATTAAGTCTCAGTCAGACTGTTTCAAATTAAATAGCTTCCTGTCGGACATCAGTCAGAGGTCTAAACTAAATGGCCTCATGCTGAATCCCTCAAAATACCAGACTATTGACTTCGTCTTTAGGCATAAACGAGATCTACAAACACTAGTAAGTACTCATGAAGCCTGTAGCATTGAAGGGATTAAAAGTGAAACTAAGTCTAACCTCGGACTAGTTCTATCTTCCGATCTTACTTGGTCATCTCATATCCAAACGATTTCTAAGAACGTGTTCCGTCTAACCTACTACATTAAGAAACTCAGACTAACTGGAATCACCCAGTTTATACTTTCACAATTTGTCAACTCTCGTATCTTACCTATTCTACTTTACTGCTCCCCATGAGTCTTTCCTGAGTTACTTAAAAAGGACTATACCATCCTGAGAAGGATGTTGAAGGTAGTTAGTAGGACCAGTGGTGTAAAACTCAGTCAGCTCGTCACTGCATTAGTAGAAAGGCATCTGAATACATGCGAAAAATGGTCTAAAACCATACTCTCCAACCTCCAACACCCCCTCTATTCCCAAGTCTCTCTTTGTACCTCATCAGGTGAAACCAGAAATCAGTACAAAATAATATATGCTCGTGCAACCAAGTATAGGAACTCAACGATACCATATTTGGCCCGTGTTCTAATTGACAGAGACAATGCCAAGCGCGAAACCTATGACTTACTTTGTTGTTAATAACATAATTTTGGCCCTTTTATTTCTCCCTTATTCTCTCTTATTTGCATTCTATAGTGAACAACCTTCTAGAACATACTTAGCTACCTAAAATTATTAACATTGGCTTACTTTTTAAACTTTATTCTATTCCTTCTTTTGTGTCTCTACTGGTCCCGACTCTATTATCTCTATGAGTATTACAAAATTGTCTTGTCATTGACAATCACGTAATATTAGTATTGTGATTATTTTTTTGTTCGGCAATATTAATTGACAATCTTGGTTGTGAACGCCGTTATCACCATCCTAAAATTTTTGCATTATGCATGATTACTCACACTACTACTACAAACACCGCATTAGAGCTGAAAATAAAAAGCCCTGAAATGTTTATTTTATGATTGTTGAGTGTTGTTCAATCAAATTAACTGATCATCTTGGCTATAAACGTTCTTAATAACATTTCATAGCTTCTTGTATGATTATAGCTGTCACTGTTCACTACGCACAAAAAATATCATAGCTTCCACTACCCAATACTGAAAAATTATTTATTATTGTTGTTTATTTTCCTTTCAACTTGGTATTTTTTGCATTTTTTGTTATTTTTGTTTTTTGTTGTCTTTGTTGTTTTGAATATTTATTTCTTGAAATACTCCTTTTAAATGTGCGATGAAATTAAATGCAGTATTGTAGATATATGCTGAAAATTCCACACTGTACCACTAGTACTGTTTCTGGAATAAAGCAAATTATTATTAAAATCGTCACTCAAATATGCACTTGTTGTATTCCAGTCATTTTAATTCTTACTTTTTCTTCAATTTTCTAGGTGCAACTGGGTTCATATGATAGAAGATTTACAATTTAAATTATGCCATTGTCCAACTCATTCCACATGGAGTTTGAATAAAACTTCCACATCGGCAGGTTGTCAGCCAAATAATTGTATTTCTGCACTATTGATTTACCGTATGCGAAAGCCTTCAGATTTAGTTTCTGCACAATCGTTAGTTCCAAGAAAATTGAATTTTGTTAAAAATACTAAGAAACCATTCCCATTTCCTAGCTCCCAGGATAGACGACTGTGACGCTGGAAAGAACACTAGGAGGAGCAGTTTAATTGTCCTACAGCCACGCTCAACCTGCCGAACATCCAACACCTCCCTGAATGGGATACAGACACAAGTCCTCCGTCCCTAACTGAGGTTACTAAGGTTGTCACTAATCTGAAACAAGGAAAAGCAGCGGGACCTGATGGAATGACTCCAGAGGTATTTAAGTACGGTGGAGACAGTTTACTGTCTTCCTGTGATAATCACAGAGGGATTAGCTTGACTAATGTAGTATCTAAAGTCCTAGGCTCAATAATATGCGTAGACTAAGTGGTGCTCGGAAGGCACAAACACGAGAGAGCTAGGCAGGCTTTAGACCAGGAAGAGGGTGTATTGGTCATATCTTCACCCTTCGACAGATTCTAGAACATAGTAATTCCTACCGGCGTCCAACAACCATTATATTTCTTGACCTAAAGGCGGAATTCGATTCTGTCGACCGAGAGATATTTTGTCGATGCTTGGCTGTGAAGGGAATGTCGAGAAAATACATTGCACTGATTAAGGCACTCTACTCGAACCCATGCAGCCAGGTGAGAGCTTACGGAGAGTTGTCATCCGAAGTGATGATAACCATCGGCGTCCAGCGGGGATGGATGCCCACCATTCCCATTTCTATTCCATTTCATCATAGATGTAGTAATGAGATTGACCCTAAATGCTGACTTCAGAGACCCAGAGATTGACTTGCTACCAGGGGATAGTCTTGCCGACTTCAAATATGCAGGCGACATAGTCCTTCTAGGTGAAGATTCTGACAAAATGCAAAGTCTTCTGAACACCTTGAGATGCAGTCTACGAATGTTTGGCATGCGATTCGCGCCTCCCAAATGCAAGATAATGTTACAGGAATGGACTTCACTGACTCCAAGTTTAGAAATAGGGAGTGAAGTGGTAGAGCACGTTGACCGCTTCACTTATTTGGGAAGTACCATCAGCCCCAACGGGCTGATCTCTGACGAAATCTCAGCACGAATACAAGGGGCTCGTTTCGCATTTGTTAGTTTACGCCGACTCTAGCGTAGACGAGATGTTCGACTATCGACCAAAGGGCGGGTGTACTGCTCATCAGTCCGCTCCGTCCTCCTTTATGGTTGTGAGACCTGGCCACTGAGAGTGGAAGACATGAAAAGACTAGCTGTCTTTGATCATAGGTGCCTGCGTTCTATTTCCCGTGTAAAGTGGCATAATAAGGTGAGCAACATGGAGGTTAGGCGTAGAGTTCTAGGTAAACAGGGGAAATCAATCGACGAAGTCGTGAAGCTACAAAGACTGAGATGGTTAGGACATGTGTTACGTATCCCAAGCCATCGCCTCCCTCGACGAGCAATGTTCGCGGATATAGGGTCAGGCTGGAAAAAAGCTAGCGGCGGTCAAACAAAAACTTGGCATCAGTCAATGAAATCCACAACAGTTGGTCTAAGTCACGTAGAAAGGTGTAGACTTCGTGGTTGGGGTCCTCGGGACGGTAAAAATCTATGGTTGGAAACAATTGGTGACATGGCTCAAAATCGTTCTCAGTGGCGCAGATGCATCCACTCCCTGTGACTTATGATCTTCAATGAAACTGTTTTGTATTTCTTTATTACTATTCCTTTGTCTCACACCTCTGCTCACTGTTTCTATTATGCTTTTCTTGTACTTTCTTCTCTTGCTTCGCGTGCTACACGGAATGTGGCGACTTGAACTTCCGCACATTTGTGCAAAGTTCTATGTCGAAAACAGACAGACAGACAGTGGATATATCACGATACGAGAAGAATACCTGATAGATGAGAGTAAAGCATGATAGAAATTCTGACGACTATATTAAGAGCCGATTTTCGATAACCAGGTAGTATGGCACGAAACGTATCACTGTGATACACAAGTATAAGTTTTATTTCAGTTATTGTGTATATTTCATTCCTTTTTGTGGTCGTGTTTGTGATGTCGTCAAGCTCATATTTGATCTTTATTAAACAAAACCCTGTCTATGCTACTGCTTTCTGGGAATTCGAAATATAAAAGGTTTGACAGCAGACACAACTGCATATGACACGGAATGAAAAAACTGTTAAGTCTTGAATCGTATATACACAGTAGGCCCTCATCAATTCACTATTCTCATCACTGTGCACATCTGAAGATTAGCATGTGTAAATGAACTCACCAAGACCTAATAGCCTGTCTTAATGGTGCTAATTACTAAGACTTTGACTTCTACGTTCCTTAATAAGGTTTTTATTTACAAACCATTCATAACGTAACAGGTCAGTAATAATTATAACCTGACGAAGAAATAACGCCACTGATAGATATCACAATAAAAATCAATGTAGAGAATAGTCGAAAAATGTGTACCATACGAAAGTGACATTTACAGAAAAAACACATTCGGAAAACATTTTATCTACGATCAGTCTATCAATTCACATATTATCAGAAAAGATTACTAATAATGGCATCTTATTTAGGAATGAGTTTCGGCTTCGAGTCTTCTGTGTGCTTTTCTGTTTTGGCTGATTCAAGTAAATTCTTATCGTGTGACCCAGGATCTCGAAAAGCCGGAAAGGTTTCCCAAGGGCTGTTGAACTCAAATCTTCTGAATTCCTGAGCTAGTTCAACAGGTTCAATAACTACGCGTTTGTACTCTTCATCATACCTCATCTGAAAAGTAAAACAAGTAGAGGTATAGTAGGCAATTATAATAATAACTTTCAAGTATTGGTTTTTGTAGGGATTTTGTTTTGATTCCGAGGATGATTTCACCATGAGCTGACATCAGTTAGAGAACCACTGGAAAACCTGGGAGTACTGGACAGCTGTTTCGTTCTAGTTTGGGACTCTTCAGTAGTACGCACTCATCGGGGTTCGAACCATCATGGAACCTGTGCAGAGTGGTTGGAAGAGACGTTAATTGTATACCAGCTTTCTAATCGCCCAAAGTTTATAAAGGGGGACTAACTGAAGTCTGTGAGTTCAAATTCCACAGTTAGCTACGGAAACATCAATATCCTACGGCGTGTTAAACAATTATATATGATGACTATTCTCTTACCATGAAAATACAACAGTGGTAGTTAACACCAGAGAGAACTGTACAGTTGTTTCCTCCTAGTTCGGGACTCATCGCCAGCTGCACAGTACTACCTGGTTTTCAATGGTTCTCTCTAACTGATATCAATCCGTGATTAAACTCGAAACAATTCAAATTCCTACGCTCGCCGACCATGCACATGGTCCGGGGTTCAACCCCCGGCAGACGCATTCCCTTATCTCGCTAAGCCAGAAATAATGCTGGTAAAGAGGAAAGGTTGGGCATGAGGCTAGCAACCCCATCCTGTAAAATAAACACTGTTACAGAATCTTCAAGCCACTAGCTTGAAGCCCAATGTTCCACTAGGGAACGTGAAGGAAGAAAAATACTTGTCAAAATATGAAAATCTACAACCTTGGAATTCTCAATTTGTTTCAGTAAAAAACATTCATATGCATTCATAAAGTGAATAATCTGTTTTGAACTAAAAATATCTAATTACCAAAAGACAATCGTTAATACGGAAGACTAAGGTGATTCACACGGTTAATTTGCATACCTCAGTGAATCTTTTTTTTTTTTTTTTTTTTTTTTTTTTTTTTTTTTTTTTTTTTTTTTTGGTAAGGATCCGACGGAGATCAGGATGATCATAGAAAAACACACCATACATATCCCATACTTCTCTTTCATACCAGTTGGAAGCTTGAAAAACAGGACAAGACGAGTCGATTGGAGTAAGCTCGTCCGTGTAAGTTAAGACACGAATTCTCGAATTGTATCTCAGAGACAGAAGATTGTAGACGATCTGCGAAAAATGCAAATACAATGGGTGGCAGCATTACCTGAAACCGGTATTTTCTTGATGGAATATCTACAGCTGTTATATCGGAGAGATTCAAGAATTGAGCATTATGATGACACTTTAAAAATGAAAGGACAGGAATAATCCCATCAGGATGAATACAAATTTCAAGCTCCTTCGTGTGACCCATTTGTACTTTTTGTACAAACTTGGGTAAACACTCACCAACATATGTCCCAAAAGCTGAAAGCCGTTCAACCTTTTGTTCCTCATCTGAAGTTCGTGATTTAATTTACAAACTCACTTTTAGCAATACCTGATGAAAAGGCAGAAGATGGAGCTGTGAATCCAATTTTACTAATGCCTGAAACACCATGAAGAAGTAAACCAAAGATGCTTACATTTGAAAAAGTCTCCTGATGGACGAATAAATTTCAACATGATGGACGTTAGAAAATCCTACCGATGCCAAGCAGAGAACTTATAATCTAAAAACAACCAAAAAATACAAGTGAATCGTTATGTCAACAGTGATACTGAATCCTATATTTCTAAATGATATTGGCAAGATCTGGTGGACATTGTTCATAGGTTCTGTTCGACACTTCTGTTACCTAGCAAATAATACATTTTTACCATAGGATCTGTTGAATACAAAACTAACATATTATTCTAGGAAGCAATGTTCAAGACTGCATATGAGGTTTTAAAATCCACATCCTATGTCCAACTGGACAACACTTAATAGAAAGAATCTTTGGTAGAAATATGTGATTTGTGGTTGATTACCATACTAAATTGAGAAGTCTGTAAACTTTTTCTGTCATAAAAATACCTTTTTAATGCAAGCACAGTATTTAGATCTGGAACAGTTAGTCACTTATTTCCAAATGACACCACAATTACACATAGGTACATCGTTTGATTAATCGTTTGTCGACGTCAACTTAAGAGGTGAGCCAGACAAAGTGATAAAAAACAAATAAAATTATATACTAAAAATACAGACTGCACTATTCGATTCTGACAGTTAGCTTGAGTAAAAGATTGGTGTTAATTGTAAGAACATTGAGATCATCTTTGTATTTTATGTGATAACTGGGACCATTTACGTGACCAGGTAGTAATAGTCGGATTACACGAGAAGTCACTAACTCACTATTAAATATGCATGAGACAGTAAATATTATGCACGCCATCATATTGATCATGACACGCAGGGCATTTCTGTGTTCATCAAAAAGTAAACACCCTCGAATAAGTTAGAGCCCGATGGCTGTATATGAAGCAATCTTTGGAGTGGCAATGTATATAATCCTTCAATCCGTTAGTCTTAGGTGTTTCTACTACGATCTCCCAACCGATAGCTGCTACCTTGACGTGGTGATCGGGCTTGCACATCGCGATGACCCAACAAGCTGCACTGACTGGAACCAATGTTCCTGCAGATCCTACCATGCCAGGAAGGTTGTTAGGATAGACATTAGACTAAAGTAGACTAAACTTGTTCGCGTTTCCCTATTACTCCAGTATATCACTGACTACTATCCGAATGCAAGCTTTGACGTCGGGTCCAAAACTCAGGACATCTCGAAAAGTTCGATTGACCTGCATATAAAAGTTTAGTTTGAAGGACTGACCTATCAGACAAGTCATATCCTTTTAGTGTCAAACAAATCACTTGAACAATTCAAGTCAGCCATATTGAACAGCCGTCACCAGTATGTTAGTGGCAAATTAAATGCCAAACGATTGATTTTAGATAAGCACAGAAACAAACTACGTGGGAATTTGAGAAACAGACTTGATGATCCTACCAGATAAAGGTACTGGCATATTCTTAATGGTTCGCCAATACGTCAAAAAATGCTATCCATAATATTACGTGAAAACAAATGTTCAAAAGAAATCATCCAGAAAAGCCAAAATGAACAAACCAAAGAAAAGATAACACAAACACTGAAGATGAGGAATGAATAGATTGTTAGCTCCGAATTGATTGAGCAGCTACAACCGTTAGGTCCTGCAATTTCTCAGTTAAGTGGTTTCCTGAAAGTGCACGAAAAGAACGTCCCACTGAGACCGATTTTGGACACCACAAATCCAACATACCATGATACTGGCCAAATAACTCGCAGACTTCCTTCTACCTATCAGAAATAATCTGTCATCATAGTGTGTCAGATTCGTTTGAGTGTTTTGATTTAATAAGCGATGTTCATGCATCTGGGAAGAGTGATATCTCAGGGTTTTACCTCTTTTATCACAAATGTTCCTCATGCAATATATCTTCTTCATGTACAACTACATCGAGGATGACAATCTGAATGTGTGTTTTGATCCACTACCTAAAGGAACTACTATTCAGATGTACTTTCCCTGTCCACCTCAAGCAACATGACACGCTACATGGAAAAAAGACAGTGGCAATAAAGTAACCACTCGGTCCTTTACTTGCAGACTGTTCCACGACAAGCCTAGAAAATAATATGTTACGACCTACTATTGAAAGTTTCGATATGTGCCAAAAATACATGGATGATACTACCATCATATGTGACAAGAAAGCTAACAAAGAAATAATGAAAAATGGAGTTCAACAACTGCCACCATTCTATCAAGTTCACGACGGAATCGCAAGTGAACCCTTAATTCCACTTTTGGAGGTTTCGTCGAAAAGATTTGACGGTCCACTTCAGAGACCAATCTAACATACAGGAGACCAATACGGGATGGTTAGTGAACGAATTTCTATAGCTTTTATCCATCTGAGGAGAAAGAGAACTTTAAACCACTCTTCATCTTCAAGAATAATATGGATATGTGCCAGTGATGCAGTTGATGATGTATTGAAGATACTCGGACAAATTCTCACTGAAAATGGATATCTTACGAGATTCACCGAAGCGGAGGCCTATAAGAGTCCGAACGGTGTCGAAGGAACTGCTGTTTATGAATGATGTGATACTGCACCTGAGGTTCTGAGGGACTGTTTATCCAGATCATGGGGAAAAAACTTCTTTTAGACCGAGCTACCGATTGACAGATGACCAGTGGATATGAGGGACTAACTGCCTCTTTGAGCCTCTTCAATGTGTTTATAAATTAAATTGCTCCTATGGAGCTACCTATCCTGGCCACACAAACAGCATACTTCCAAAGGTTATCCTGAATGGTTGGCAAGAGGACAACGTAAAACATTTACTAGCTCAATTCTCGAGTACCTGGTGAACTCAGGCCACGCAACTCCACCAGGGTCACCTTAAAAGATTATTTACAAGTTGAGATCAGATGGTACAAGAGGGGTTAGGTTTTGGCATTTGTGTATGGCAGAGGTGCTAGCGATTTGTCAATATAACCCCGAAATTTGTGTGCAGAAAAATTTTGTCCAGTATCTTCTACCGTTGTCATAATCTCTTCCCTAATCGTCTGCTTTTATTTTTATTGGTCAATTTACTATTATTACTTCTACATGTCCTTTTTGTACATTTTTCCACCCATTTCACATTTGCCAAGTGGACATTTAACTACCGATCCATGTATTTAATAACAATTTTCACCTTATCAACCTTCAACCTCCTACTTCGATCGTATTGTTGACATTCACGTGATTTGTTTTATCCCAGAAACCACTTGTGGGCAATTATATTGTCACGTAGACCCCATAACTTAATAATAGACTACTATACGCTTTTAGCAAATATAAATAGCGTTGTATAGCCTCCGAAGATGATTTCAGGGATAAAGAAAATGTTTCCACTGGTTCCAACATAAAACTGCACAAAAATGCAGTTGTTTGAGTCAACACTGTCCATGAAACACACAAAGGAAGACAAAAGAAGAGAGATCTTTTTAAATATAACAGAAATGTGGGAAAGGAAGAATAGTTATATGGAAAAACAATAGAGCTTTATTGGATATGGCAGATCATAGAGTAAATGCACTCGCGTCACTGAGGACGATTTTGAGAAATATCACCAGTTGTCTCCAGATATTGGTGCTTAGAATCCTCAGGACCCCGACTAGACAGTCTACACCTCCCTACATGGTTCTCCGCAGTGCTGTCTGGTATATACTTCATGTCCATGAAGCACTAGCCGGGTGCTGGGACCAGACGAAATTAAGAGACACATGGCTGTTCAGCCTATGATGTAACGCCGTGGGATGATGGATGTTTATGTTGCTTTGGAATCTATTATTGAGGCCGGGGAGTTAATTCAGGTCAAGTAGTGTAATCAGGGGCGAACATGCCGCAATTTCCTTTTCACCTATTTTTAAAGTAATGTGAAGTGACGAACTATCCCTTGAGTGATACCTTCTCGATTAAGTCTCAATTTCCTTAGAATAAGGGTTAGTACTGCGGGGTTAAAATAACACAGAAACGTCTTACTAAGAAGTCTAAACACTTGAATAAACTATGATAACAAGGTTAGTTTTATAGTCTAGAAAATTTGAAGTATGACGATCTATGGGATGAAGACACACGAGAGACCTCGTGCCGACCAGTCAGAAAATACCGTGTTTTCTGCATTATAATGACATTCATTCACAAAAGATATATAGAGCATAATGATAAAACACACTGAATGGGATATTCTTCTCTGATTAAAGTAACTACAGGCACTTAAGTTAGACAAGCTTTTGTAAATGTATTCGCCGAGGTGATTGAAGATTAGCTTTTGGTGAAGTTTAAGTATTACGTCCCATGGATACAAACACACCAATGACCTTGGACGCATGCTAGTCGTTGGATAATGAGACCTGTCATTATTAGAGCGCTATTCGCCAGCTACGGAGAGAATTTAACCCAGATCATGTTTATTAGGTGTTTAGAAAATATGTTAGGGTTAAGGTAGGTATTCGAGTCAGGATCAAGGTAATCATTAGGTCTAGGATTAAGGTTAGGATAGAATTATAATGAGGGGTTAGTATTATTATTTGTTTAATTATCCATATTTTCCTTGTTGGTTGTCGTCAATCGTCTTACCGGGAATCATAAAATTTCGATAGAGGGTTTTAAGGGAAGGCGGCGCCATGGTGAATACATGCGCATGGACTGATCTAACTAAGAAATGATAGTAATCATTATAACCAGGACGTATTTTGAAGTGATTTCAAAAAAGATATCCTGTATAATGTTTTTACGCATTTACATGCGTGAAAAATACGGCGTTTGTTTACAAGAAATTTATCGTAAATAGACGTCTTCTTATAAAATTCACCTGCATGAACCATAATCTTGACCCCGACGGTCTCTTTATACACTAATACACTAAACAGTACCTAAAACGTGACCAAATTGTTATTTAAACCTTGATCCGACAATGTTCAGATTGTGCAGACAGTTTCTTGTATTTAATTTGATAAACCAACCATTTTGTAATTACCCATGGAATCCTCAAAATGAGTCTTTACTCTTAAGTATAAAGCAGACGAGATAG